CCGTCACTGGCAGTTTGGAGTTATAATATTTAATAACCTATCGTCTAGTCTGTACATCAACAGATAGAGGCAGGCATAGGCCTTTCCCTCTCCCTGGCCCCCAAAATCAATCCCCCTAAGATCAGAAAGCTCTTTAACCAAGGTTAAGTCCTGCCAGGAGTAAGTAAATCTTTAACAGGAAAATAGACACTCAGCTTACATTTATGTAACTATATAATTTCTTAATATTACTTTTCATTTCTCTCAAAGTTCTTGCTTATGTGAACTCTTGCTTTCTAAATAGCCCTGGAATCAAGGGGAATTCCTTGTCATGGGGTTACCAAGTCACACCAGGCCTTACATAATTGTTATCATTTGATATCCATAAGCAACCACGTCACCTATCTACCAACTAGCTACTTCCCTATCTCTCAGAGGCCGTGTGTGTGTGTCGGGGGTGGTCCTTTGTAAATACTGGGCCCTTAGACTCATTAGGCAGAATAATCCAAACTCTCTCCTTTCTCAGATTCAATAAGAGTAACAGCTGATTTAGACTTTATTTTGTTTTTACCTCTTCATTCTTTTCTTGTTTCCGAAGAAAAAGAACTTTTAAGTATTCTCAAGTATGTTAGCAAAGTGCTAGTTTGTTTTCAAATGGAGTTGTACAACCACCCCCCTTGCAACCTTTAGTTATGAACAGGCCAAGAAGAAAAGTTTGAGAGAATATCTTTAAGCTAGCTTTCTATTCAGAACTTGGGCTACATGGTTGGGATCCCAGCCCTTGAATACATTACTCATTTGACGTCTGGGTGTCTGTCCTCCACTAGCCTATGCACAGACACTCCCCACTATGGTCCCAGCCCATCCTGTGCTCATCACCAGTTCCCTCTCTGGCAACAAGACCCAGAGAGAGCACCTTTCTCCTACAGTCCACTGGTCAGAGGTAAACAAGTCTGTGGGAGAGTGAGGCTGGGCCTGAGGGAGATTGGGTCTACGTGGATTTTCTCAATTCAGAATACATTTGATCTTTCTTAGCATCATTTTTCCTGCCCTCATGCCCAATCCAATGGTTCTCAAGCTTCAGAGAAGAAAGCCTGTTACAATCAACCAGAATGGTGGAACTCATTAATGCCACAAACATTTATTGAGTGACTACTATGTGCCAGGTATTACTTGGGCATTATTCAAAGATATATAAGAGAATTCTAAGCCTTTGAGACAATCAGGGTGCACTGAGGCAATCATCTAAGTTACTCTTGGGCAGCCCAGAGAAACCAGAGGGGTTGAGATAAGATTATCTCTATACTCTGATCCTTGACTAAAGTTGGCACTGGAAAATTATCTCCTTCCACAGAGGTGAGGCCACTGCTGTTGGCCATTCCTTAGATTCTCTGAGTCCCTATTTTTTCTACAGTAGAGTCTCTTCAGTAAACAATTTAAAAAACGACTACTAAGTCCAGCAAGCTGTTATCCTTACGTAGTAAAACGCTTTAATAAGCATCTCACTGTGTTACAGACCTGATGAAAAACTGCCTCTGGGGTCCCCTTGCGGACGCCCCCTCCCCAACTGCAGTTGCCCAGCTCAGTCATCAGTGCCCTCAAGAAGCCTTCACTCTCTGCTCTTTTTCCCCCCACAGCACTTTGTAGCTCTCTCAGCATACTCATCACATTCTCCTGGGTGTCACAGTCATTTATATACTTGGCTTAATTCTTTTACAGGACTGTAAGATCCTTGACCTAATCATCGTGTCTTCCCATCCCACCATAGCAACTAGCTTGTTCCTTGTGGGGACTCTCTAAATGTTCCTTAATGTGAAAACAGATAGTACCATCTGCTTTTCTTAATCTAACCTCAAAAGTTTGTGACAAGAATTATCCTTCGTCCTGACACTACTTTATAATGAAGTTCTTCTGTTTTAGGACTTTCAATGATGCAATGTCTCTGAACATTATTGGAAGTATTTTCCTTTATCACATTGTTTAAAAGAGGTCCAATTTATTTTTCACAACCTTGCAAAACCAGGTCAAAGGTAATCTAGAACATTTTATAACATTTCTGGATCTCAGTCTTACAGTAGAGAGTATCTTTAACTGTTACTAAGGCCTTGTACAAGAGTAGTTCCTATACCGTGGAACTTCTTGCATGGTTATGTTGAGCCAGGTGGTATAGACCTGGCCAGGGAGCCAATGAAGGAGGTCTGGGTTATCCTTGCAGTAGAAGCACTAGTTTAGTGATGAGCTTAATGCTAGCATAAATGGAAACAAAGCAAATTTACTATTTTCTGGGCTCTTTTGGATGTTTTTTACAAAATATCCTATGTTGTATGAAATTAAATATGCTTTCTTGTTCCGCCTATATTTTATGTTTGGGAAGTTGCTTCAAAAACTACTGGCCCAATAAGTTGGTTTCTATCAACTACAACGTTGATACAGGTTCAAACAGCTGAAGGCAATTTTTCCATGTGATTATGTACATCAGACTCATCTATGGAGAAGGATCCTGAAAAGCACTACAGAGAGTAAATCATATTCTCTGGGAGACCAGTGCTTCTGTTTGATTCAGGGAAGTCTTTGTGAATCTCTGACTTTCTGTAAGTACATTCTGAAGGAATAATTGGGTACTGACATTTCTGAGAGGGTTGAGCTCTGTTAAGCTTTATGAAGAGTCCCCCAATTCAGGACAACTGGATCAATGCTTATGATCAATGCCACTGTGCTGGTCCTTCACACGCACTCCAGAATTTCACAGATAGTTGGAACTCAAGCTCTCTTATTAACTCCATAGCCCTAAGGCTGAAATTCAAAGCACAGAATCAAACCCAGTTGAATTTCCACCCCTCCAATATTTCTAAAGTTTCTCATCTTTATGTACCACGTTCAGATGGTGTAATAAATAAAAAGTACTCTGGACGTGAGAAAAAAACTCAGGTTCTGTCCCCAGCTCTGTGTTGCTAACTAGCCATGTGACCCTAGGCAACTGATATCACCCCTCTGAGCCTTTGTTTGCTCGACTATAAAACAAGTGGAAACTAGGCTGATTGTTTCTCAAAGCCTAGTCCTCAGACCATTTGCTTCAAAATCCTCTGGGGGTGGGGCTTGTTATAAAAATACACATTCCTGGGCCCCACCACAGTCTTATTGAATCAGTGTTTTTTGAGGATGGGGCTCAGGAATCTGTTTCTTAAAACAAGATTCTCAGTTGATTTTCACGTTCCTTGAAATTTCTTTTCTAAACTTTTTATTGAAATATCACACACTCATTAAAGTTAGAGGATTATAGGATTAGAATATTTCTAAGCTCCCTTCCAACTTTAAAGAATTCTAAGAATCAGTCCATTCAACACATTTACACATGGGCGCATTTACCAAGCATGCGACTTTGGACTCTGTTACTCTCTTGGCAGGAACTGTTTCAGGTCAGAGTGTAATCCTGCATGGTGTCCAATAGTCTCTGAGTGACGTGGAATAACTGAATGTTTTTCAAATGCACGGCCTCTCTCAAAGGTCAGTTTACTGCCAGAGAGGGCCGGACGTCCACGGGAAAGTGTGGTTCACATTTGATCTGAACGTCACAATTTCATTATACCCTCCACATAACTGACCTAACATCACACTCAAATGGCAGAGGACTGTTGGCCTGGGTGGGAAAGGAGCTATCCAGTTGTATTTCTGACTTGATTACAAAACCAAAGTCTATTAGTTATTTAAACCCAGACTTCTTTATCAATAAAACTCCCAGTCCTTGACCTCCCTCACAGGGGGGCTGGGGTACCATGCAGGTAAACAGGATTTAAATCCCACCTGAAGTGGTACAAAGATCATCGTGCTAATGACTTCCCTCTGAATTAACTGGTAACTAGATTTGAAAGAGTCTTCCAGTTACTCAGTGGTGAAGTTGTCTCTTTTCCCAGGTAGCTAGAAATTGTTGAGAATTTTCTTGAAAACACCACCCCCTTCAAATAACGTGGCTACCTTTAAAATTATCCCCTTGCTTTTAAACTTCTATACAAAGCCTTCATTTTTTGGATTATTTATTTTACGCCGTGTGAAACAAGTATGTATGTTTCCTACAAGTGAACAGACACCTCATCGTTCTGTGACACTAGGCCGACTGCTTAGCTGGCCTCAGCTATGAAATGAAGGGGGAGAGCAAATGGATGCTAGATCCCTTCCAGCTATAACACTTTACATCCACGAAGAGGCAGGCAGCACGACGGAGGGAAAGCCATGGGTTTTGAAGTTGGACAGACCCAGGTTGGAATTTTAAGCCTCAGTTTCCTTAACTGTATAACAGGGGGTAATAGTATATTATCTCTCAGAGTAATTAAAGTATTCAGCATAGAGCCTGGCACAGAAAGCCATTCCAGAAAGGTGAGGCTTCCTATGGTTCCATGTCTTTCAGCCACACCTGGTTAGGCCTCCTCTCTATGATAGCGTGACAAGCAACCCCTGGTCCTTACTCACGCACAGAGACAAGACTTCTGGGAAGAGAAAACCAGCAGTCCTGTAGGTAACAGGGTCTCAGTTTCTTCCTGGCCTGGTCACTATGAAGTTAGCATGAAGTTACCATTTCAGGTCTCGGTTGAAATGTGGCAGGAAGTAACAACAGAACCAAACGGCACTACTGCTGTAGATGCAGTGGGAGTTCACAAGGGCACTGCGGCAGATTCCCCAAAGTCTTCTCCTTGGGGATCAGGTGAGGTCAGCTTTTCTCTGCAGTGAGAATTCACCTCTCTGGCCTCAATAGTCTCATCTACAAAGTCTGATAGTAAACCCTACCTACTGTGAAGATTAAAAGCACCACTATATGGATAGTGCTTAGTTTAGTGCCTGGCACGGTCAGCTTCCACAGCAGGCCGTTCTAATCGATAATTAGCGTTTCGAGGAAGGGTTGTCATCCCCTCTCCCTACCTCTCCAGTTCCGATCTGAATCTCCCTCTCCAACCCCTATACCACGCTGTGGCAGGTTCATGAAGGTGCGGAGGAGCCCAGTACCAGGGCGGGACAGTCCCCAGGCTCACCTGGCGAGACAAGTAGGACCTTCGCTCCGCAGCACTGGAAACAGTGCAACAGGGACTTGGCGCGGATGTTGTAGTTGAGGCACGCCATGGGACAGCCTAGCTTCATCAGCCCCAGCCACAGCCACAAGTAGGTCGGTTCATTGCCCATGAAGATCGCCACGCAGTCGCCCTGGCGCAGGCCGACGTGGTCGTGCAGTGCCCGCGCCACCTGGTTGCTGCGCCGGTCCACCTGAGCGTAGGTGAACGTCTCGTCGCGGAAGAGCACGAAAGGCTTGTGCGGCGTCTGGCGCACCTTCTCCAGGAAGCCATGCAGGATGGTGCGCACCGGTCGGCGCCGCTCGCAGCTGCGCGCCCGCCGGGCCACGCCGGCCACCCGCAGGAAGTAGCCCAGGTCCTGGAAGAGGTAGGGGCAGCAGAGGTTCACTAGCAGCGGCAGGAGCAGCAGCCCCGCCAGGGCCGTGTAGATGGCGGGCAGCATGACGGTGGCGGGGCCCCCAGTCCCCGCGAGGGCAGAGGGCGCACTCTGGGCGTGCAGCGCGGCGGCGGCGAGGGGCACGCTTGGGCGGACGGCGGGCGGACTGCACAGGGGCGCAGGGCGAGGCTGGGGCGACGGCGGAGCGCCTGGACTGCCAGCACCACCGCGGGCTCTCGGGCAGGTGGAGTGGTGTGTGGGTGCCGGGGATTCCGGGCGGGACCGACCGGCTGAGCCCGCCCCCTCGTGGGGGTGCAGTCACCTGCGCGCCCGGCGGGCCCCTGCGGTCCTCCCTCGGCGGGGAAGGCGCCTCTGAGGCTCCCTGGCAGCTTGGCCACCGCTCTGCCTGAGTCTGGAGGTCTGGGGTCAAGTCTGGACTCCTCTCTGTCGTGACCGAAGGACTTTACCCCTCGGAGCCACAGTTTCCTTATCAAAATAGTGATAATAAGACGGACTTAGCGGATGATGATAAGACTGAAGGAGATAGTGCAGGTGTAGAGCTATGGCTATTTATTGCTACCACTAGTAGAGTACTTCATAGAGATGACTTATTGTTAGTATCAATAAAGTGCCTTATAAATGCTAGACAGTCCTATTATTTATTAGTAGTGGGTACCAGGTGCCACTGCCAAATCAGAATCCCATCCATCTCTCTTTCCTGGTCCCAGGAGCTATCCGCCTGGTCTCTCTTTGTTTCTCAGATTTGCGTCGCCTGCCTAACCCCAGCCCAATTGCCAGGCGGTCTCCTGTGGCAAGGATTTCAAGGTGGAACAAAAGCGCCAGTGATTGTCATCTCCAGCTCATCCCAGCTCCCGGGCAGACAGTGAGGACAGGACGTGCTAGCGCCCCCTGCCCAGCTAGCCCAGATTTGGCGAGAAGTAGCGCCACACTGCCACCTGAAATCAAACTGGCGATATTTTGATTTGTTTTAATACTCTATTCTAAGTGATCTTTTTCCCCTTGTATGTTGGCAATTCTCAAGTATTGTCAGCCCAATTCAACACGCATTTACTAAGCGCCTCTGTCAGAGAATAGTACAACAGAGGAAATTAAACATGATTGGCGTTTCTTAAAAGCCATTTTAATGTGACCCTTTCTTTTAATTTCCCTTAGTTCCCCTCTGTTTCTATGCAGAGTGAATGCTTGCTGCTTGCTACTGAGGGTCAGGAGCTAAGTAAAGCAGTTTTACTTTCTCTCCTGTCCTGCATTCATCCATCTTATTCTTATGAGATAACCACAAGTAATGAATGCCTACTCCTGCAAGACATTCTGCTAGGGGCTTCCCTGTATTATATTTTTGGAGCCTCACAGTCATCTAAGAGTGGCATTTTCGTGCTTATTTGCAGACAGGAAAGGGACGCTTAGAGAGATGAGTTAAGATAGCTAGTCAGTGATGCGTGGGTTTTGGAACTGTGCCTGTTTGATCCCAGGGTCCTCTCTTAGCAACCAGGTTATGCTGCCCTCCTATTTGCTGGGTTTCTATCTATGTCTTCTTTTTCCCTCTGCATTTTTTTTTTCCTTTTACAATCTCCCCCTCCCCCATTTTTTAGCCCCCTCTTTTTATCCCTGGGAACTGCTCAAGCAACCCTTTCCCGTTTCCTGACTCTCACGGCTGCTCCAGCTACCATCTAATGACTGGTTGCATCATTTCCCTAGGGAGTTGGTGGGGGCCTTTGTTATCCCCGAGGAGAAGCCTGTAGTGTTAATCAAAGTACAGGTCAGGACAGAAATCATCTGATGTGCACGTCTTCTTTCATGTTGAAGCTCAGAGCCAGCCCTCCCTGTCCATCCAATGCCACCCCCATCCCTTTACGGCTAGTCACTTCAAAGCCTCCTAGATCCCTCTTGTTTTTTTCCTTAAACAGCTCCTCTCTAGAGTGCTAGCTCACCACAAATGCCCACTTTCTTCTTCCTTATTCTGATGATCACTTTAGCCTGGTGCATCAGCAGTTTTCAGTGGCAAGTGAAAGAGAAGACCCAAACTGACTTATGCGGAAATTGCAGAGCCCAGGGATAGTATAGGCTTCACGGCAGCCCTCATCTATGGCTTAAGCATTGGGACCTGGGCCCAGTTTCCCTTTCACCGCTTCTCTGCTCCACCTCCTCCCATCTCCTGTAGTAGGCTCTACAGACGTGATCCAAAGATGGCTGCCAACACCTTAGGGTTCCATGCTTTCTGTGTCAACTTCAGACAGAAATATAAGAACTTTTTTCTTACGAGTCCTCATTAAAAAAAACAAAAGAAAAGGAAATAAAAGAATAGAAAAGAAAAGAAATCTCTGACTGGATTATGTGCCCATCCCTGAACCAATCTTTGTGGGCTGGGAGAAGAGAAGTGCTGATTAGTTTAAGCCAATCAGGGCTCACCCTTGGAGCTGGGGTATAGTCAATCCCACCAACACCATATTGTGGAAAATATCAAGGTATTATTAAAAAGTGAGAGGGAGAGGTGGGGGAGAAGAAATGAATTTGGGGAGGCAATTAGCAAATATTTGCTATCTATCTGTCTATCATCTATCTATCTTGGAACTCTTCTTCCCAATGATTCTAGCTTTGAACGTGTGTAAGTGAGCAAAACTGAGGCCATTTTACTGTGCTAAATGGGCCCAGCTTCTCTTCTGTGTGACTACTTGCTGCTCTGTACATACTCTAAGAAATCCACGTGCTCTCCTGATTTATGGCCTCTGCTTACAGTATGTACTCCCTGATAGCTTAATAAATTAAAACTTTGTTCTGTGGGTTTCTCTCCAGGAATAGTCTGACCACAGGTGGGAAACACACCTACAAGGTTATCCATCACAGCTGACAGAAGAGTGGAACAATGTGATGCCTGGAGACCAACATCCCTGGACCCTCTCCTTACTGTCCGTTTTCTCTATATAATTGCCTTAAGATTCTGTAATCCTGGAAGATGGTTTATTTGAGACATCTTCCTGATTATGCCAGCTAATTGAATTAAAACTTACCTTTCTTGATTCCTAGCTCTTTGTGATTAATTGGCTCAGACCACAGCGAGCAGAGTGAGCCCATTACTCAGGGTCACCTGGGCTCCACATGGTGCTCTGCCGCCAGACTAATAGTCTCCTGTGGAAGTCTTGGCCTCGATAGACAATTGTCACTATTTGTACAGCACACTGGAATACCTCTGGGCTGGAGCTGATCGGATGCCCTGGGTCCTGCCTGGCTCCTTTGATGGGGGAGGGGCTTGCTAGCTTAGCCCAGTGCTTACCCATCCTAGGAATATTTGCTGGGGAGCTCTGGTCAAGTTTGAACTTCAAACTTTATTTTCTGGCTCTTCTGAATCTGAGTTGAACATTCACTACACTCAACCAACAAATATTTATTTAATTTCTACTATGAGCAGAACATCCATTAGGCACTAAGTATTTAAAAATTGGCCAAAACTTAATTCCAACTACTCCTTTTCAAGAACACTTTGTTATAGCAAGTCTAGTCTACACCCTCCTAAAAATGCCCCGCACATTCCTCTCTCTAGGGCTTTATTCTTGCCTATTTCCACCCTGAACTCTGCACATCCCACCTCTCCACTAAGGCAGTGGTTCGTAGATTTCTGGATTTCTCGGTCCAGTAGCATTTCAAAACAAAGTTAGAAACCCAAAGTATCAACTTTAAAATTTTTTGAGTAAATGCAGCTTCCCTCCAACCAACTACAGTCTATTTTCATTATTATCTCAGTAAAAAGGGAAGTATAACTGAACTGTACACTTATAAATGGTTAAAATATTTACTTTTATGTTATGTGTACTTTACCACAGAAATATACAAAAAAGAGAAAAATACATAAAAGTACACACAAAAAGGAAAATATAATCCTTTTCAAGAAAGGCTGAAGACAACAATAGACCAAGATATGAAAAAGATAGAAATTAAAATATTTTTGAATGCAGAAAATACAACTTAAATTTGGTTTATTCTATCATATAGAAATTATTTCTATACAAGTTTGTCCATTTGGAAATATAAATTGAACAGTGAAGCAGGAAGCAGACCCAAGTCTTGGGCATTGATAGAATTTAGGATCGTTTCAGCACTGACATCTGAAACATGGAGCCGCTCCACTTCCTTACCCTCAGTGGACCTCCTTGATCCCCGCGTCCCCCGTGCCGCCACGTCCACAGAGCATACTTGTTTCCTTCATCAAGAGTCTTGTCCCTCCATGGCCAGTCACTTCCAAGCAGTCTCCTAAACTCCTCTTTTCCTTAAACTTTCTACCCAGAAAGCTAGGTTACCTCAAATGCCCTCTTTCTTCTGTCCTATTCTGGGACATCGCAGGAGTGAGTACTGCAGTGCATGCTGACAGCTTCAGCCTGGGTCAGGACTTCCCTGCTGCTTCACCTCCATGCATCCATCTCTGCTGATGTCTTAGAGACGGCCTCCCGGTGGCAGTTCCCTGCTCCCTTCAAAGTCCCCAATCCCAACCTCAAATGTTCTTTTAAAGTAGATGCTCTCTCCTCCTACTTAATGGAGGTGAAGTAGCCCACTGGTTCTTAAATTTCACAGGCATCAGAATCACTCAGAGAACACGTTAAAACACAGCTTGCTAAGCCCCGCTTATTTTTGCTAAGAATTTCCAATTCAATAAGTCTTTGGTGAGGCGAAAGAATTCACATTTCTAAGAAGTTACCAGACAATGTCGATGCTGCTGGTCCAGGGACCACACTTGGAGAACCACTGACTTAGCCCCAGTGGTTTCCACACTGCTCAGCAGAGCCCCAGGTCTTCTGAGGAGGCACTGAGAATTCCTTGCACAGCGTGGGAGGAGAAGGGCTCTGGGATCCTACCCCAGCTCCAATCAGAGCAGCTCCATATATATCTGTTTTACGTATTTGAGTTCCATGTAGATCTCATGTGAAAAACGTGTTCCAAAATCGTTATCTTTTAAATCCTCCAGCCCATGTGGCTCTATCCCTTGTACTGACCTTATAAACCTACCATATAGTTGGCTCTTTACTGTTTCATGCCTGTTAATTTTGCCTTCCCAACTAGAATTCAACTTCCTGGGATGAAGTGATGGGAAAGAGCACGAGACTTGAGGTCAGAAGACCCGGGTTCAAGTCCTCGTCTGTCACGCATAGGCTGAGTACCTGTAGGTTAAGTTACCTGAGCTCTCGCAGTGCCCTGTGTTAATTTTGTAGGCCTTGAGGCTCCTAATGCATCGGGACTATTGTTAACAAAAATATGTAGGTTATGAAACCTGCTG